GCAGAAGTTTTTTACTCATCTTAAATGAAATTTTTAGGGCACTTTTGGTTTGGGCTAAGCTCCAGTGAACTAGACTAAGCCAAAATGGAGGTATGTTGTATTGTGTTATGTTCCACATAAAGCAAACTGTGAAGTGGATCATACTCAAAATCAAAACAAAAAGCCACAACGACCAGACAGTCAGCGACTAATCAATTCATCTGAGTTGGCATGCTAGGGAAGCCCTCTTGGTTTAATCCTTTAGGGAGATTAAAAACTCTGAAAGGAGGCTATTTTTGCTGTTTGTGCTTTCCCCCTTTTTTGTATCTTCTTCTCCTTAGCTCATTGCAGCATTCATTCTACAGAATGAAGTGTTGCCTGATTCTAGGATTGCTCCCCCTCATACCTTGAGATCTTTAAAGCTGATTTTGTTGTAATTTTATGTTTTGATCATTAGTTCATATAGAATGAAAAAGATAACACTTTAATTGCAGGCTCATACACTGATCTGATTGTGTAATTTTAAGTGGTGCTTTTTACTTTTGCAGTTAATTAAAAAAAGGTTTATTAAGAACTTTTTCCTAGAGCCAGGAAGATAGCTCTGAGGTCTAAGGGCCTGCCTTCCCGGACACCACATGCTGGGCCGGCCCACCTTGCCCCTAGTTGCATTAAAACTGGCCGTGGTGGCACACACCTATAATCCTGGGGCTAGGGAGGCTGTGACAGGAGGATCACTATGAGTTTAAGCTGTGTAGCAAGACCCTATACCAAATAAATAAATAAATAGATAAACTTTTTTCTAACTTTTGTTTTTAAAAACAACTTAAGATTGTCAACAACCACCCCTTCATCCTCACCCACCTACCATCTGTTCTGCTTTCTAATCCTCTATAAAATACTGCGTATGTGGTATGCTTTTTTCCTTCAGGATCCCATGAGTCTGTAAGATATTATAATACTACACTTTAATAAATGTAATTCAACACATGAGTCTGAAATTGCTAAGATGTCTGTAGGAAGGAAATTTCTCAGATGACTCATGGGCAAATTATTCTGGATTTGGAGCCTGTGAAAAGTTAAACTGTGGTGCTCTGTGGTCAAAATGAGAACTTCACTTTGGGGCCAGGGCATTAGTGGAAAAAGATTTTTGTCCTTCCTGCTGATGTCATAGGTCATTGATGCTGCTGTGGATATAGCTGGGGTGTGGATTGTTAAAAAAGTTTATGTACCAACTAAAGCTCATCCATGTTATAGAGCTATGAGTTGATCTCTTAAGAGTTTTGTTTCTTCTACATTGTATTTAATTCCCCTTTTTGTTCCCCTGAAGTAGGAAGATAGTTTTAAAAGTTGAGAAATTATGATCCTAAATTTAAGATGAAATTTCATATATATATATTTATATTTATATATATGAAAAATATTCCCCATCCAAATAGCCAGTTCCCTTAAATATTTTAAAAATAGCATTCTGAGGATAAACCTTCTAGTTTCCAGTTTTATAGTAGTACCATTTCAAAACATGATGTATTTTTGTCTTCCTAAGATGATATAATAGATACAGATTTATATGAACAATTTTTATATTGAAATTTGTGGGTGTTTCCACATATATTTTGCACCTTTGAATATGAAGTCTTAATTGGAAATGAATAAATGAAATTGGACCTGGTTCTTATACTTTTCTAATAATAACCTGCTGTATTATACAAGTTACTTATCTTCTCTAGCTTAATTTGTTTGTCTCAGTTACTCTTCTCTTGTTGCTGGGAAAAGTAACTGACACCCAAAATGACGGAAAGAAAGGTTCATTTAGCTCTCAGTTACTGGAGATTTCAGTCCATACTCGGCTAGCTCCACGGCAGAGTCACACAGGACAGAGAGTATCAGTTCATGGTGGTGGCAAAGAGCAAGAGGAGCCAAGGGAGGAGGAGCAGCAACAGTGGCAACAGAGAGGAAGTCCATCTCTCTGTCTCTCCTGTGTTACATTCAGGCTCTCTGCCTCAGGCTGGGCGTAGCACTCATACCCATAATCCCAGCAGTACTCAGACCCATAATCCCAGCCTTGGATCACTCATAATCCCATTGGATCATGAGTTAATCTCAAAACTCTAGAAGTCCCTGTCCCATGACTGCATGAGGCTTTGGGGGGGATGACAACTAGACACAAACCATAACATTACTTATTTGAAAAACAGGGATATTAAAATAGAGAACATAGCTGAAAATCTGTTGGCTTTGAAGTAGGTCTAATTGGTGTATATTTTGGTACTGCTACTTACTGTATATGTGAGTTTGAGAATTCAGATTTCTCTGGGTTCTATTTTCAAATCACAGTGCCACAAAGTTTACTGTCCTAATTTTCTTAATTGTTTGAAAAATAAGATGTCTTTAAGAGTAGGATCTTTTACTTTGAAGTCCAAAATTGCTGAGCAGTGGCATTGGTTCTATAACTAAAGAATGGTCAGACTGCCACCCCAAAATGTCATAAGCTGTGTCAACAGAAATTTATTTTCTCACAATTCTATAGTCTGGAAATCTAAGACAGAGCCTTAGTGTAGTTCCTGGTGAGGATGTTTCTGGTATGTGAGTGGCTGTCTTGCCCCCTCACCCATGAGGTGGGGATGATACCAGTGAGCTTGTGTGTTACTCAGGTTCCAGGTCCATCCGCTGCATGACCTTACCTAAGCGTACTCATCTCTGAAAGCCTCTGTCTCCACACACCCTCCTCTTGAGGGCTGATGCAGCTCAGGAAGTGCAGCACAGCACAGTTCAGTCCACACAGGAGGAGGGAGGATGAGAGGCACAAGCATGCTGAGGAGAAACCTGGGTGGAACCCAGGGGTCTCCCAGCTCTGTCTTGCCTGAGCCAGTGCTGTGGGTCAGTAGCTGTCAGACTTCTGGGTCCCACAGGGCAGTGCATTTAAAAAATGTTTGGAGCCAGTATTTTCTCTATTATTTGCCATTATACTATGAATATTTATTAAAAATACATTTATTAAAAATACATTTAGTATAAAAAGTGAGAAATGAATCTGAATAACAGATGATCCTCTGAGTTGAATAAAATTGGCTATTCTAAAAAATTCACTACATTGACATTTTATGAACCAGTAAAAATTGTGGATAATAAAGCTTACTTTCATTATATAGAATTATTTTTTAGCTGGGTATGGTGGTGTATCCTGTAACCCCAGGTGGGAGGCTGAGACAGGAGGATTGCTGTAACAAGACCCTGTTTCAAAAACTAACAACACATAAAACATTTTGTGTGATTAAAAAAAGACTGCCTCCTCCTCCTCATTTTCTTCCCCCTCTCTTTCCTTCCTTTCCTCCCTCCCTCCCTCCCTCCCTCCCTCACTGTAGGTGAATGTGAACAGATAGATACATATTCATTGAAGAGGCTGGCCACATAGCTCACTGGATTAAAGCACCTGCTTAGTTCAAAGCAGGGACCAGGGTTTGATCCCCAGAATGCTGTGCCAGCCCAGCCCCCAGGGGGATCTGAGAGGGCCGTTGAGACTGGGTGTAGTGGCACGCCTGTAGTCCTAGCACTTGGGAGGCTGAAAACAGAGATCACTGTGAGTCTGATCTATGTAGTGAGAACCTGTAGACCCTGTACTGAATACATAATAAGTACATACATACATATATACATACTCATTGACTCAGGGACTATTTGATAATGAGCACTTTGGTAGCAGGGTGAACTTATATAAATATGTACAGAAGGACTGTCTTTTTTTTGGTATAACATCTTTATTAGCATGCAGACAATTATTGATTTTTGCAATCAAGCAACCAACAAATTTTGTTGTCATTATTTAAAAATTTTTTAATTAATTTTATTGAGAAATAACCATGAGGCAGTTTCAAAACCAATCAGTAGGACAGTTTCAATAATTTTTTTTTAAACATTTATTTATTTATTGTGTGTGTGTGTGTGTGTGTGTGTGTGGCCAGCTTAGCCCACCAGGGGGCGGGGCGGGCTGGCGTGTGGTGCTGGGGGATCGAACTGCGGTCCTTGTGCTTTGCCAAGCTTGTTCCAAGTAGGTGCTTTAGACCACTGAGCCATCTCTCCAGCCCCAACAGTTTTAATAATTAATACATTGCGTATTGTCTTTGTAGTGGTTATTCATAGTTCGAGATGCAGACATACCCTGAGGAAGGACTGTCTCAACCCTGAATTAATGTAAATATGCGCAATGGAAAAGAACTCTAGAATTTAAATTGTGGAAATGTAATGAGAGGGGTGTGGTTGTGCAAATTTAATTAATGGTAGTTGTATCTCTGATCATTTGAACTTAAAATGACACATTCTAGAAATGACACACTTTCCTTTAGTGACATTACCTTTACTCTGCTTCTATATTTGTAGTCATAGGACAAGTCAATCTGGGATTATCTTATTTTCACTCATTTCCAGTTTAGAATTGATAATATAATGTAGGGGTTTATTTGCTTTATATTTATATCATGGTGCATATGCAATCGTAAGCTAAAAGAAGCATATTTTTATATATGATGTAAAGGAAAAGGCATTCTTGTTACAAATAAGTCAAGAAAAGTGTATTTTTCATCTTTATATATTTAACATTAGGTTCAGATTTGTGTATTTTTTATATCTAAAAATCAGTACTGTGTGGTAGTTTATAGCTCAAGATGATTTGACTGTGTGTTAAATAACACTTTTGATGTCCACAGAGTAGATTAAAATGATAAAAATGGAAATTAAATTGATGGAGCACCAAAGCAAAGTGAAACCATTACTAGAGAAACTGAGAAAAAATCTCAGTAACAGTAGAACTGTAAAGATTATAGCTGCATCATTGTGGTTTTTATGTAGGAGTTTTGATTTAGAGGATAGAATTGCAGTAGGAAACTGACTTTTTTCTTTGCTCCATGTGAATTTTCTAGCTGAGGAATGAAATGGCTGGGAACCAAGCTGGGCTCCTCTACTGAGCATGTCCTTTTACAGCAGGGTCGGGCTTGGGTGGGGCCTGCTTTTCTCATTCAGCCTTTGGGCTCCAGATTTCCATCTGCTTTCCACTCTCAGTGACAGGGAACAGACGGCAAGCTCATGCACTTGAAAGCTGTGTATGTATTCCAAGGGGTGATTTTAAGGACATTGGTTGTAGCGTTTGGGTTTTGTGTTACATGTTTGATTTTTGTTGTGAAGGAAGTTTGCTGTTAAGTGTGATTAAATAACTGTGGGACTGAAAATTTGGAAACTAGTAATGCATAGAGTAGATGGAATCTGGATAGTACACTGGTTGAAGAGGAATACAGTATGTTCTGTTATATTAGAACCAGGTCTTATGGGTAAAATACTGTTTTTTTAGTGACCAGAGAGTTTAGTTTTAGGCAACCTCTTTGTATTTTCCTTGTCAAATACTGAATTTCAGCAAGTTATTAACATAACAATAGCTTTTTCGGGTGTGACCTGTGAAAGTAATGAAACTAGTTTGCTTATTTTATATATTTGTGCTATTGTGTCACAATTGGTTGTTTTCAGTGTTATGGTATAATAAACTACATGAAAATTATTTCCAAAGTTCCATTGAGCCCTTGTAAAATTAGTAGTGTGATTTTTTTTATTTAGCATGGCTAAAAATAAGTTTCAGTTTAACCGTAAGTAAATATTGTTTAAATAGGATAAGTATCATTATCTTTTATTGCTGAATATTTAGTGTTTTCACAGTATAGAAATGTGAAAATATACCATGTTACCCAGATTCTGATATCCAGATTTTAGGAAACACTTTTACTTTTTCTTTATATAATCTACCTGCTTTACCAATCTCTCGTCAAAAAAAACAAAACAAAAACAAAAAAACCCAGAAAACAAAAAACAGAAACCCTTTGTTTCCGTGTTAATTCCTAACAAAATGAAAAACAGTAGCACTGTAATTAGTTAGTAATGATCTTTGTAATTCCTTTGTATTTATTTGAGACTGCAGGGAATACCCCTGAAGTCATTATGGTTTTTACTTGGCGATTGTTTTCCCATTTTATCTCTAAGAATATAAATTGCGGGCACCATGGCTCACGGGTTGAGTAAACTGTTGAAGTGATGCTGCTGATGGGACAGCCATGCGCCCATCTATGTCTATCCCCAGCTTTTTAAACAATGTGATTATTAACACATAGTAATTAAACAAAATACTGGGTTTCTTGTGACATTTTCACATATGCATAGAATGTACTTTGAGTGTATCTAGCCTATTACCTTCCCCTTACTCCCATTTTTTGTAGTGCTATATATACATGACATGTTATTGTTGACCTGTAGTTTAATATGCTAGGATCACACAGTTAATTTGGAACTAAACTTCGATATTACTTTTGCTTAGATTTTTTTTTTTTTTGACTCTGAAGGTTAAATGTTTGACATGTGTTCCATTAGGATCTTCTATCAAATCACTTGTACAGATGTTGAACTTTGAAAATTTTACCTCCAAGAATATAGTTAACTGAAGTAAAAACTTGTCAGATCCAGAAGCACTTAGCAGTAGTTATTTGATGCTCTTGATTTAAGTGGAGCACTTTGAATTAAACTATCACAGAATTAAGTTATGGTAGTTTAATTCAAAGGTTTTTTTTTTTTTTAAATAATGGGAAAAGAGTTTATAGCATTCCACATGACATGTCTGTAATTGCATTTTAGTTAGAGTTTTTTAAGCCTGGGGAAAGTTTTCTGGATGGCTTCAGATTTGGAAGGTCTATAATTTTACCTTTTTATGGTACTTTTTGCTTACTCCTGGACTGATGCCAACATCTGGATATGTTTACTTAAATATTAGACCATTCATAGTCTTATTTTTTTAGAACATATGCTCAGCATTGGCACAATTCTGAAAATTTTATAAATATTTAAAATAACAGAGCTAATGACCAAAATTTTAAAACTGAGTGATATATATATCTATATCTATATATATATAGTGTGTGTGTGTATACATATATATATATATATATATTTTTTTTTTTTGACAAGTTTAGGCATTTGTCTGTTCACTGCAGTGCTTGAAAGCTTATAGAGAAGAGGATTTGGAAGATTGAGATTAATTTAGGCTCCAGCTTGGTGGACTTGTCATAGTGTAGGGAGTTGATCAGCTTTGACAAGCTTTTGTCTTATGACCTATTAAAATGCAGCGTCTGCAGCCTGTGCATTTGTCCTGTGCAGTTAACCTTGGTGGATTTGTTGTTAGCTAATTTGGGAAGAGTCTCCTAAACCGTTGCTATTATTTTGTAACTACAGAACCTAGGGTTTATTTAGACAGAAAAGGTAGTAGATTAGTTATAAACTACCACTGAAATGCATTTTAGATTGGGCGAGTGGGGAGCTTAAGCACAGAGTAGCTGAGATGAGCTCAGGAAAAGTACACTCCCTTGTATGTGTTATGACCAAGGGAGACGGGTGGTGCTGGTACTCTGCTGTTTGAACCTGGTTGTGATGTCACTGGAAGAAACTGCTCACTACTGTATTTTTCTTTTCTACTATATTTTTCTTTTCTACTGTAATGCATTCTTTGATGATGGTCCAAACAAATGCTCCCTGAATGCTAAAAACACCACAATAGCTATTTATCAAGAAGCCACCGATGCATGACATTGACTAGGAACATATAGTTACTCATCTCACATAATTTCACCCTTTTCATGGAAGCAGAGTAGCAGATGGAACAGGGAAGAGGTATGGAAAGGAAATATGATCACATCCTTGTGTTTGTTAGGCCAGTATTTTTCTGCATTTTCCTACAAATAAAGTAGATGCTGCTGAAAGAGATGGAGAGTGTATTGTGTGAGACTGCTGTGGCAAACAAACACTTGGATTTACACCCAGGATTTGGAGGAAGATTTATTTTATGTCTGTGAGTGCTGATTGGAATCATTCCCAAAATATCAGGCCCCGATCTCTGATGGTCTAGGGCTTTTCTATGATGAATATGCAGAGGTGCAAGGTGAGACAGAACAGCCTGGCCGTTACTCCGATTTGGAAGGTTGAGATAGGATACAAGGCTAGATTAATGATCATCTGTTACAAGACTAGATTAATAGTCATAGAAATTATTACAATTAGACATGCTGTTCATTTGTTTGTACTGTGGTGGTTACAGGGGTCAAGAAAGTAATTACAAAGCCACAAAGTAGTTACAGAACTAGGTAGCTTCAAAAGAACGAAGTTTGGAAAAAAAAACCATTTCTCTTACGCAGTTTTTCCCTTTCATACCCAGTTTAAAATGCTTAGTAAGCATCTTCCCATTCCATTTTGCTCTCCCTTTTAAAGAATGTCCTCAACTTTTAGAGAACTGTTATTTCCCATTGTCTTGCTCCTGCCTCTCAGCAGAGAATAGAAATAATCTTTTTAGCCTATCTGGTTATGTAGCAGTATTATTGTTAAGGAATAACACCTTTTTGTTTTAACTCCATACTGAGATCAGAAGGATAAAATAATAAGCAAAGTTTTCTCAGGAACTCTTTAGTTTTTTCAGTTGAACAACAGATAATACTGCTTTGTTTTTGGATACCAGGAATTGAGCTTGCGACCTTGCACTTGCTAGACAGGCGCTATGCCACTGAGCTATTTCCCTGGCTCTGATAATACTTTTCAAGAATGCTACTTAGAAGCTTATGTATTGAGCTTACACTACTTAAGAGAGCAGCATTTGTGGAGTTAGGAGGGGTCTATGAAGTGTGCTGAATTGGACACTAGCAGAAATTGTTTCTTTGGGGTTTCCTGAGTTAAACTTCATATGCTAAGACATGAATTCTGTTTGAGTCCATCTAGTGCTGTTCCTGAGCTGGAAGAGAATGGAAGGTACCTGTGCTCCTACTGTTCTGTGGCTAGTGCTGCGGGACAGGACAAAGTGGCATGGTTTGTGGTAGTCACTTGTGGCATTTGGATTGCCTCTAGGGAAACAGGTTAGTCAGCTAGTTTCACTTACTGTGTAAATACTGATTCTCCTAGTCAGATATTTCTGCACTTCAGTTGAGCGTAACGTATGTCTCTTAGATCTGCATCTCTGTGCCACCCACCACTCCCACAGTCACCATTCCTCTTTGTACTCTTCTGTCCATCCTTATGTGTGCAGGTTCACACCTTGCTATGAGCCTAAAAGGTAGCTTATTACATAAACTGCATATCTGAATTTTGCCTTTTGTACTTAACAGTGTATCTTGGCATAAATTCCGTAACTGGGTGGAATTCCTAAATTCTTCTTCATAGCTACATATATTCAGTTGTATGAATGTAGCACAGTGTCCCCCACTGATGGATGTTGGTCCTTTGCTGTTACCATGTTGTAGTGAGCCATTGTATATGTAATTATTTTAGATGTGTGCAAATTATTATAGCATCCACTTCCACACGTAGGATTACAACAGAAATTTAAGTATGTACACAGTTGGAATTTTGATAGCTTTGGGCACGTTGACTGCTTGTGAGGTGTTTGTATCAGTTTACTTTTCCAGCAATGACTGTGAGAGTGTCTGCCCCAAGGCCTTGCTTAGTTATTACATTTATAAACTTTTGGTTGTCTCTACTCTAATTTTTAGCTTTATTTCTTGTACTAGGAGTGCAGTAACCATCTTTTCATCTGTATCTGTATTCCCTGTATCCCTTGAATTTTTTCTCTTAACTGGGATGAGTATCCTTTAGCCACTTTTACTTCCATTCAGGTGATTTAAATTAGCCTTGCTAATTACACAATGAAATTTATTTTGGAATTTTGATGTTGAGTCAGTTTATAACCAGTATGTTTTATATGATTTTTTAATTTAAGTTATGTGGATTCAACCAGAGAACAAGTAGGTCTCTTCCAAGTACAGTTGAGAATGAGAATTAGTGCAAAGTGACTTCTGAAGGGTTGATAGTGATTGTTTTTAAGAAAACTGTGGCTGCTTTTCAAACTAATAACTTCTAAATAATCTTGCTACCTGTATCCTTCACTAGACTGATAATAGGATTCTTGTTTTCATCTGTTATTGGTGTGGATATATTCTAACAGTATTCCATAAATACTTGTTTTGAAAGAAGAGGGTAAGGGATTGTAGCTCAGCAATACTGCACTGGACTGGCAAGTGCAAGATCCTTC